ACTCACTCTTAGCAAAAGCTAATTTGTTCGGTGCCAGTCGGCGGGGTCGTGCCGTGACTGGTGGACCCTTAGTGACTACGTAGTGTGCAACACGATCAGTCACTAGTGTTAGATCCTCAATAGGTTTGGTCAACGTGGGGAATCGGGCGATCAATGTCTGGAAATCCACAGGGATGTCAGGCATTAAACCCGTGATTCGGTAAACGTCTGTTCGGGCTTTGAGACCCGTGACTTTGATATTCGACGCTGGGTTGATCAACTGCATACAACGTGAATCGACAAGCAATTCATAGTACTGCAAAAAATCGATACCCATTATTCCAGTGGGAACATTCGCAAGAATGAAGGTCCATGGATACCGTCGTTGCCATCCCAGGTTGACCGTGAGTTGTCTTGTTCCAAAGGTAGGAATGGGAGTGCCATTCACAGCGCATAGCCGAAGCGTCGTAGCTCGTGGCTTGCTGCTACCGACAGGAAAGACTGATACTTGGGTTCCCGTATCTACGAGGAACCTAGCGTTCGTGTGATAGTCACGTACGAAAAACAGACGGCCAATCTGAGGAGGCGGGCAGGCGAGTACGACCGCTTTTACTCGCCGACTTACCCTTTTCCCATCGCGTATTTGCAGGGCTTCCTGCAACATCCGGACTACTACGCGTCATCGTGGAGTGTACACGAAAGAGTTCCCTTTGAGCTATGTTGGCTGCCCTCTGACACTGTTGTGATGACTTGAAGTCGTGCGGTATAATGGATTCCAGGTGCTTAAATTCTCTCTTAAGCTGAATTTACTTCTGTATGTAAATTTTAGCTCCTGCTGTTAGAAGCTGACATGTAGCTAGGTTGAGCGGAAGATCCCACTTTTCGGACCACCGTATAACAGACTGCAGGTCCAGATATAGGTTCACTCCAGTCACTTTGAAGTCTTCCACGAACATAAAGCACGGGTTATTGATTTCCCGTGGCAGATCGTTGACGAACATCAGGAAAAGTAGTGGGCCTAGCACAGAACCCTGAGGGACACTGCTAGTTATATTGGCCGGCACCGATAAGTGCATATCAACCTTGACCTGGAAGGTGCGGTTAGTTGTAAAGCAGTAAACCCACTTTCTAACTTTTCCCCCAAATTCCTAAGAATTGCATTTTTGGTCTAACCCCAGATGACTTACCGAGTCAAAGGCTTTGCTAAAGTCCAGGTAACAGACCTCGACATGCTGTCCCTCCTCTAAGCGTCGTGTGACTTCATCGAGGAAGGCATGCAGATTTAATAGACAATACTTCCTTTTAACGACCTTGAGCGCTTAATTCAAATTTTTGACGTGGTAAATTCTAGTCTGGTAATTACAAAGTACTATGAGTGAAAGCCGCTGAAACCGCTGCAAATCGTGTAAAAGTCCGTAAACCCGCTTAGCGAAGATATTCGGTAAGTCCTCGAGTGCTGAATTTTCAAATCAGTGATTTCATTGCGTAAGACGTTTTGCATAGAGAAAAAAAACTGCACATTGCAAGCTTTCGCCATGGCGGTGGAACTCCCAAGTGTCAGAAAATTGTCTCTAGCGATATTCCGTGTGATTGCTGCGGTTACTGGTACCACCAATAGTGTGGCCGCATAGAACGTCACGCCTACAAAGCTTACGTGGGAAACGACGCCTTACAGTGGCGCTGCTACATATGCTTAGCACTGGCGGAAGGGGGCAGGTCGAAAACCCAATCTAAAGGTAGGCAGTACCGGGGTGAAAATCCAGACCTCACTGGATTCGCAGTTGGATCCGAGAAAAAGGAAGAGCTAAAAGGGAAATTTACCACGCTAGAGAGGAAACTGTTGCTTCTCAAGAAAGAAAACGACATTGCCATTGGCAGAACCAGGAACATCCTCACTTATAACAACGAGGAGCCGGTAATTCGGAATGCGAAAGCCCGGGCAGACATAGAACATAGGAAAGTCCGGGACCTCTTAAGACTCGCTGGGTGACCCTCACATGCACTTATTAAGAGGGCACAGAGGGTCGGCCGCTGGATCGACGCTGCAGGCAACCTGCAGCAGGGAAAAGCTAGGCCAATCCTAGTGAAATTTGGAAATCCCGCGGTCCGGGACCAATTGCTTAGTAACTGTGAGAAAATTCAGCGAATCACTGGGGTAAGATATCAGATTACACCTGATACCCGAAAGCAGGGTACATGGCAGACCGTAGAGCAGGGCCATGCACCCGCGATAGTGAAGAGCAAGGCGACCGGAAAGGCCATCATCAAGGTAGCCGCCGTAAAGTCCACTCCGGAACCGTGTCCTCCTAAGAAACCGGAACATCAATACACGCCGAACTACGCAGCGGTGGTTTTCTCGACTCCCTTGAGTTTGGAACTGTTGGAACCGGCAGGAGCAACACCGGTAAAGAAGCTCGGAACCAAGGGGGGACCCCGCAGGCACCCAAGGGCTGGGGTGCAGCCAATGGTGCAGAGGGCAGAGCCCCCCATAGTTAAGTTTATCAGGAACCAAACTTCACTTCCGATTGTGCCACTAAAGGCAGTAACGGACGTGGGGCAAACGCTCAGCTCCACAACCAAAGCAAAACTCATACGCAAATAGTGCCTAGGGTGCAACCGAAGCATGAAAAACTACTGACTCTCCCGACTAAAATCGTGGACTTGACGCTGACGCCGATTGCAACCACCAGGTCTACTCAGACCCCAAGGTCCAGAATAACCGAAGTTGGGGCCCAGGGACAAAGCCCGGAGCTAGGAACGTATGACAGATGTTCAGTGGTCACCGAAACTGGAGACGAGGGCTGCTCGTTAATCAATGACACGATTATCTATATGGTGTCAACCCTCACCAGCGTAAGCGTGATGATTCGGATCTACGAGATCACGCCTGCCCTGGAGCAGCGCGGTACAGTTTCCGGACATTGGTAGTCAATCGACCTTGAGCGCTGACGCCAGTAGCACGTGCACAGTCTCCGGATACACGTCATTGGTGCACCGTTCCAGCCAATCAGATACAATGCAGAGAAGAGCAATATGACGCAAGATGGGATGCAATATTATTGGTGGGAACTAAGGTAGCCAATGATCTTTTCTTGTGTACATATATATTCACTTTCAGTTCCTTCAATAAACGACTTTGTGATTCACCTGTCTTGTGGCCTTTTTCCTTGCGTCTCGATCCTGCGGGTTATTGCGAGTTCGAGACGTTGCGGTCCAGTGCCATCGGTTTTCTAATTCGTGTTCCGTGATTCCTATTGCGTAATTCGTGTCCTGGATTCTGTGCGTAACCTCAGTACTACTGTTATATTCCGAAAAAGCAGTGCTGGTCGAGAAGAATTCTTCATTGCAGAATACAGATTGAAGGTCACTAATTTTGCATGCATAACACGAAAACCTCATCAGAAACATGCCGTCGCAGCACATCGCGACACAGGGTAATGGGTAGAGCAGGCAGTGTTTATTCTTCCCAAATATAGTACTTGGTCCTTGATGGTCTTGTTCTATTTGTAATCACCGAAAATTACCAACTACTCACAAGTAAGTAGTATCTCACAACACTCCTCCCCCCGGCGGAAAGGATCTCTGCATGCCTTGATCAATTGACGACTGCTTCTTGCATTGTGCTCGCGTTT